AGGAGTCGCCCTATAACCCGGCTGCAAGAGGGGGACTCAACAGTGGTCTCAGTTTGTTTTACGGTGCATATATATCATGTAATTATTGAAGAAGGAGAACCGCCAGACCAACCGCCCGACTAAAGTCCAATCAGTTCCCCTCGACGGAGTGATGACTCACAAAGCACACAGGCAAAACGCCCGTCAACCATCTCCCGAGAGGCCGAGGCAGCGAGAGGAGGGAAAAATCGATCAGCATGAGGCCGGCCAACACGACTGCCACTTCAAATTACATTTCTGATCGATTAAGTGCATTTTACGCTTTGACAATGAAGAGCCGACCCAGCTCTTTGAAACGTCAGCACTCAAATAAACCTCTTCCGGAGAGCCTGTCTTCGTCTTCAAGTATCAACATCCCAGATAATAGAAGTTTAAGTCAACTAAGTCCTTTTATAATGTAACATACTGTGCCCCATAGATTCTCAAAGCCGGTTAGCATAGTCATCGCTTAGCACAAAATAAATGTACAGAACAATTAAATTTCTGAACCCACCTATGAATCAATGCCTGCCTGCTGTTCGTGCCAGTATGCGGTCGCTGTAGGTTATTACTTGGATGAGAGGGAAGTCGACTAAAAAAATTCCGCAAGATGCCCGCTGAGAACGTTGCTGCTGTACGCGTTCATGAGCATCATTTGGCAGCAAAGCGGTGAGATCAGCCCTCCCACGTAGTCGTGTGTACTCTCGGTACTGGGCACACTCTTGCCTGGAACAGAATTCGCACTGCCCATCAAAGAAAAACCGATGGCTCCTCATGTCCCTACACGCGGGTGAGTCATTCATCAGTTTGCCTATTTGGTTGAACGCCGCGCACAAAATCGTAAAGGAGGGATCGGAAATACCGCAGCCAATCTAAAGAGGATAACAGTACAGTAGGTCGGCTAAATCATGAAATGTCAGCCTAAATACCGCAATGCGTTTTCGTTTCCAAAAGACTGATTAAGTAGGGTAGTAAAACTTATCAGCGTGCAGCATAATTCTATAATAATTCAGTTACCGCAGGATGCCGGCCTTCGAACAAACTTCTTTCCGGCTGCATACAAAAACCATAATCTGTGAAAAATGACTACTTACATAGCATGCACTTTTCTCATTGATTTTCAGTGCCCTTAAATATTCTATTATATTTCATAGATAAAATACCCAAAATAATCAACCTCTTGCTCATTCAGTAGACAATTACGTCTTCTTCTAGTTTTACACTCGAAGGAGGGACATAGGTCAGTTTGAAAACAGCTTCTAATTGTGGGACTTCTAAATACCGTGAAATGGCCTTTCATAAATCGCCATGTCTCTGTATTTATCAATGTGGCTTGTAAAGTTAACAATATGGATCGACTCCACTGCTAAATTTTATGAACTCCATAAGGTCTCCCTCTATAACCGTAGAGAAATGTGTGGTTTTCCGCATGCGGAAAATAGACGGCTTGTATTTTGGAAACCCTGAATGCAAGTGTGACGGTAGATCGGGTCCAAAATTATTCGAGAATTGGAAAAGTTTTTGTAAACCGAATTATATCCCTCCTTCGGGTATTAAACTAGAAGGTGTAATTGTCTACCGAATGAGCAAAAGAATGAATATTTTTATGCATGTGTTCCATGAAATATACTTGGACATTTAGGGCCATCGAAAATCAGTGAGAAACATTAATGTTACATAAGTAGTCGTTTCTTACAGAGTGTTGCTTTTGCATGCAGCCGGAAGGAAGTTCATTGGAAAGCCGGCATCCTGAAGTAACTGAAGTATTATAGAATTATGTTGCAGGGTGACTAGTTTTACAACCCTACTTAATTAATCTTCTCGAAAGGAAAACGCATTTCGAAATTTCGGTTGACATTTAATGAGTTAGCCCACCTACTGTATGTTTTCTTTAACTCATCATCAGGCCGATAGATTTACATGGGTAATGATCATTCTAATTGTAGACAGGATATAAATGCGCCTCAGGGGAAGAGTTAATCGGACTCCATGTTCCCACGTCGCTCACATGACGGAGTCAGCGTGTTGAGGACGGTGGAGTTGGGGTGGGAGGGCGGGGGGGGGGAGGAGAGGGGTTCCGGTTAGATTGTAAGCGCTGTAAGTGCGTGTGACTGCTCTCAGGGCGTGGGGACGGCGTGCGATCACCGTCTGGAGTCGTCCAGGACAGACAGACTGCTTATGTCAGCGTCTTCTGACAAGAGAGTGCTGGGTTCGCTAGTCGAATGGTCACTGCTTCGGCTGTGGCTAGCACCCGTTTGCGCAGGCCTTTAGAGTAGTGTGTCGGTGTCCGGTAGATAACGCTAAAGGATTCTTTAGCGTCGGATTGGTGGTTCGTATCGATTAGATGTGCGAGAATTGAACTCGAAATCGATCGATGTTCACCTCTACCTTACCAGGCAGGCATGTGTTCGCGTATTCTCTTTTCCAGACGCCTCGTCGTACGGCCAATATATCCCGCTCCACAGGAGCAGATGAATGAATAAATACACATGGATGTGGCCTGTAACGGCAGCCGGTCTTTGCCCGCCAACCGTAGTAGGGGAGAGTTTGCGAAGAATACGCGCAAGTTCACCGCGGGGATGGCACTCGCGAGAGCTGTCCTCAGACGTCGTCTCAATAATTCGCTTGTTGCGTCTCCTAGAAAACACAATCTTAGAAATAAGTCTTTCTTATTTGCAGTTGCTACGGCAGGTTTTGTGGCACGCTCTCTAATATTCCGGAGGGTGAATCTTTCTGGATAGCTGTGTTCGCGGAGCGTGTTTTGCAACTGCTGGAGTTCTGCTTCAACAGTTTCAGGGGAGCAGATGTGTCGCACTCTAGTCGCCAGTCCCTGGACCGAATTTCGTTTTAGATTGAAGAGAACAAATCTGTGAAAATTAATGCATTGTCCCGTCCAGATTTTTTTCTGAATATCTTGCGTTGGATGGATCCATCCTCTTGTCTGTGTAGAAGGACATCGATAAACGCGATCTCGTTATTCTTCTCGGTCTCTACGGTAAACATCAGAGGGGAGTGCGCCCCGTTAAACTTCTGAAATAGACCATTGATGTCAAGTCACGGCAAGCTACAGTAGGTGGACTAACTCACGAAATGTCAACCGAAATTCCGAAATGCGTTTCCGTTTCGAAAAGATAAATTAGGCAGGGTTGTAAAACTAGTAATCGCGCAGCATAATTCTATAATATTTAAATTACCTCAGGATTTCGGCTCCTGAATGAACTTCTTTCCGGTCACATGCAAAAACTACACTCTGTAAAAAAATGACCACTTATGTAACATGAATTGTTTTCATTGTTTTTCGAATCCCTTAAAAATTCAATTATATTTCATGGAAAACATGCACAAAATTATTCATTATCCGGCGCGTTCGGTAGGAAATGGCGGTTATTCCTAATTTTGTACTCGCAGGAAGGGTATAATTTGATTTTTAAAACGTTTCTTACTGTGAGATTTTCTAATACCGTGAAATGGCCGTTCATGAAACGTCATGTCTCGGCACTTACCAATGTGACTTGTAAAGTTAACAACATGGATCAAATCCACTACCAAATTTTATGAACTCTATATAGTTTCCTTTTAATACCGAAGATAAATGTATGGTGTTCCGTACGCGGAAAATATGCGGCTTGTAGTTTGGAAACCCTGAATGCAAGTGTTACTGCAAGTCTAGTTCAAATTATTCGAGAATTGCAAAAGTTTTTCGAAAACGAAATATGCCCTTCTTTTGAGTATAAAATTGGAAGACTTTATTTTCTACCGAATAAGCAAAAGAATGAATATTTTTATGCATGTTTTCCATTAACTATGGGTGAATTTTTAAGGGCGCCGAAAATCAATAGGGAAAATGCGTGCTACTTAAGAAGTCATTGTTTACAGGGTATAGTTTGTGCATGCAGCCGAAAGAAAGTTCATTCGTAGGCCAGCATCCTGAAGTAACGGAAATATTGTAGAATTACGCTGCAACATAACTAGTTTTACAACCCTACTTAATTACTCTTTCCAAAACGTAAACGCTTTTCGTAATTTCAGTTGACATTTCATTAGTTAGCCCACCTACTGTACTCTGCGTTCAAAATAGATCAGCTATCCGACTTTTGTCGTTAGATGAAACAAACGGTCTCCATGGCGTTTAAAGGAAACTACTACTAGATAAATTAAGATGACACAGTTCGAAATTTACTGCGCAAGATATTGTTATTTCAGACGAAGGATAATAGGCAGGAAGCACTAACAGCTCGAAAGTGGATAGCTCTATTTCCGACAGGCAAAATCGTTGCTTTACTTTAAAACCTTGGGTGATGCAATATGACATTTCGACCGCCGTTACCGACGAGGTGCATCGTGTGGGTCACAGCATGGCGGGCGCAGAGACGTGACGCGCGTGATTTATGCTGTATCTACCGCGGTCTGTCCTCCATCACGCATTTGAGCCCGACGTCAGCGACTGACTGGAGCCAGTCCCACACGCCTGGCCTGCACACGGTTTTCACACAAACAACAAACGGGAAGGCGGCTCGGTTTCCAAATGCGGGAGGGTGCCATTGGGGGCGAATTCAGAAAGCGCCATTGCAGCCTGACTCTTCATCCCGAGAGGAGGACTGAGTTATCTCGCCAGCTGGCAGGCTTTCAAGCTAACGGCTTCTATCGTATCCTAGGAGTTTAGCGCGCGTCATATTATTTGTAGTGAAGACATGCGCTGAAGTGATCTGGGAATGGAGTCCCCGGTCACTCTCTCTTCCCTCTCGCAGGCATAGATTCAAGCAAATTTAGGGTCAACTATGAGGTCTGACTTATACCGTCAGTCGGCAACCTTTCAAGCAAATGCATTTAGCGCGTCGTGATAGATTCAAGCCCGTCACATTTATGATAGTTACATTGTCAATAGAAGCGAAGGGACGAGTTCCAGAAGGCAGTCTTGAAAAAGGAGACACGATAGCTGGGACAAGAACTTTATTAGCCTGGCGTTTCAAATTCGGAGCTGAATGGCCGAGCACGCTGCAGCGGTGTGGAGAAATGACGCCAGATCTCAAGTTGCGACTCATTCGACGAGATCCAGCCACACATTCAAATTCGACGAGGCCGAAATTCTCGCAAGAAGTGACAACCGCGTGAGCCGCGATCTGCTTGAGTCATGGTTCACTGGCCACCAGTCCATCAACAAGTGCAACGACCTCTCCATTCCATACGAGGTGCTGAGACTTCGCCTAGACGAAGTAATATTTCACGCAAGGAGCGCACAGGTGAACCCTGTTCCCGACGCCAGGGTCGGTGGGTCAGATGGTCGAGTAATCGTCACACCAACATCCAACACACGTGATGAAATTGCAGCAATTATCCACTCGAATGTCGGCCATCAAACAGTCATCACACCACTTGCAACGATCCCTGATGAAGGAGGGAGCTGTGAATATTCATAGGTATGCGGTAGTATGGCGACTGCATCCTATAAATACTGCAACCCCTTGTGCATGATCTACCCGTATCTGCTTTTGTCACTGATGATGGGTTCGGGCAGGAATCCGAAACGTCAGGCTAATAAAGTTCTTGTTCCAGCGATCGTGTCTCCTTCTTTAATAATTTCATTGTAAAGTCAGTCACCGTGCAGCATAATCCCATAGTAATTCAGTTACTTCAGGAGGCCGGCGTTTGAACGATTTTTTTTCCGGCCGCATGTAAAGACAAAACTCTGCAAGGAATGGCTACTTAAATAGCATGAATTTTCCCTTAATTTTCGATGTCCTAATAAACTTAAATTTATTTCATAGAAAAAATGCACAAAAATATTATTTCTTCCATTTATTTGATATAAAACTAGATTTTATTAAAATTTTACACTTGAAGGAAGGGTATAATTCGGTTTCAAAAGTGTTTCTAATTATTAGGTTTTTTAAGTACATAAAATGTACCAATAAAATGTCGCATCTCTGGATTTACTAATGTTTCTTGTAAAGTTTGCATTATGGCTTAGATTTACTGCCAAATTTTATGAACTCCATATGGCCTCCTCTTAATACCGTAGAGAAATGTATGCCTCTCCGTACACCGAAAATGTACAACTTGTAGTTTGGAAACCCTGAATGCAAGTGCAACGACAGGTCGGGCTCAAAATTATTCGGGAACTGGAAAAGTCTTTAAAACCCAATTTTACCCTTCCTTCAAGTCTAAAATTTAAAGAAGATGTACTTTTCTATCAAATGCGGGAAAGAAACAATATTCTATGCATGTGTTCTATGAAATATATTTGAATTTACGAAGTGGACCGAAAATCAACAAAAAATGCATGCTAATTAAGTAGTCATTCCTTGCAAACTGTGGTTTTCTCATGCTACCGGAAATAAATTCATTCAAAAGCCGACATCCTAAGGTAACTGAATTATCATGGGATTATGTTGCATGGTGATTGATATTACAAGCCTATTTCAGTAATCCTTTCGATTCGAAAGCGCATTTTAGAATTTCGGTGAACATTTCATGAGTTAGCACATCTACTGCAGTAATGCACTAAAATGAAGTGAGTTTGGATGTCTCAAGGACGGCCTCACTCCCTTTTCCCTTTCCACCCATTGGTCCGTTATCCTATCCGGCCTCTCATTCGGCGCTGGGTTAATGGATGCAGTAATTACCTAAGTTTACTCTGACAGTAATTTAATTCAATCGTCTTCATTAAAATGTAAAGCACGTGAACGTTGATGTAAACAGACAGTGAAGTGTAAATCACTCCGCTTTGGCTTTTTGAGACGTGTATAGACGCCACATCACCCCGACAGACGCAAACTGTACTGTTCCATGCGTGTAGAGTCTTTTGCGAAACCGGGCGACTGCGTTTAAAACATCTAACAAGACAGTGACTTCGCCTTCGATGTGCAAATAATCGAGTACCGAGATCGACGAAAATATAATCCCCATAGTCTCTATGTAGTACATTTCTTCAGAACCACTGGTAGAGTGACCCGGTTTATGCAAATACTGATCGCACAATGCACGAAATCCTTTTACGTCCGCGTACACACGGAAACTGATTATGCACGAAAACACATTGCTTGCCTGCATACTCGCAGCGTCAAATCCATGTCAGTTTGCTCATACGAAGGCGAGGACGCAGTCTCCTGGCGCAGCCCCAATCATGCCACGCGAATCGTCCACACCACGTTAAAGGGGTTTTATTTGCAAGTGTCTGAATGAACTTTTCCTCGCCTCCATTCCTCCGTCAGTTTTTTCATCTCGGTGGCACTTAGACATGGCCGGATTAAAAATGGCGCTTTTTCATTCGGAAATTTTAGGCATTTTTTCTCCGTTACAAGTGAGGCAGGCATGCAAAGCAGAATTAACTGTTACCAGCAAATTGCGCGACGGCTCATCAGCTGCGTTCTGTCGTTTCATAATATGACTGACGAGTGAGAAGGATAAAACAGTTTGAATTCGTGCAGAAAATCACCGCAAAACAACAAGGGCATGGCTTGAAGTGATGCAAGCTAGTCGATAAATTTAGTAAATTAAACACAATATGAGATGGCTAGTGAGATAACGTTGAAGAGTAAAAAGGAAGAGGGAAGTGTGAAAACCAAGGAGTTAGAGATTACCACGGGAAATTTAAGCTGACCACAGCCAACAATGACGGAACATTCACCTCCAAAAAAGCCAATTTTTTAATATCTTTGCTCTTGAAAGAGGACAATATGTTTAAAACATTCGAATGACGACTACGTTGTACCATTGAAAGGACATACAATGCGACCGAACTCATATTATACAGTTCTGTTAAACCCCTTCCGATTCTACAGGCGACGGATACCTTGCCAATGCAAGCCACTTCAAATTGTGTTTAGGAATTCACATGCCCATACTGATGCAAGTACGTTGGACGAACACAAAGCCAGTTGGCAGCCAGGTCTATTGAGCACCTGCCCAAATGACTTCTAGAGCAAGAAAACATGATCCCGCGTTCCTCCACTACTAAACACTTTTTTGATAGTGATCACTCCGTCCACCCTAAACATCCTTCTGAGTATTTATTCGGACACGAATAAATCGCACCTTGCGTTACTCGGAAGCGGCCTAAATACTTCGAGTAAAACCAGACCTATGTAAACAACCGAAATACGTGGTCAGCCTAACGTTGCCGTGGTAATCTCTAGCTCCTTGATTTTCACATTCCCCTTTTCCTTCTTTCCATACTGTGCTCACGTTACTAATTTTACTGATTAGCTGGCATTACCCAAGCTCATGACTTTGCTGTTTTGCATAGATTTTCTGGACGACTTCAAACTGCCGTATTCTTCTCACTCGTTATTTGTGTTACGAAACGACTGGACGCAGCTGACGTGCCGTCACACTATTTGTTGGTACCAATGAATCCTGATTTGACTGTTTTTTCAACTTTTCCATTCAGTACCAAGAGTTGAATGAAGTAATTGGATGCAATTTTTTCAAGGCAATAAGCGCGGCAAAACCGTGGACAAGCAGATATTACCTGCAACCGGGCTTCAAATCCAAATGTTTGCGTTTTAAATCAGTTAGCGCATCATTTCTAGACGTGCAATAAGTAGTTAGCGGAAAAGTGGTCACTTATGCACCCAGAAAGACGCCAGTAGAGATTCAGCGAGGACGACAGGTTAACTATAGACCTTAAATAAATAAGTAAATAACACCGTCTCTTATATCCCACCTACTCTGGGGCTTGATACGAGGGGTCGCGCTGGTTTCTCGACTCTAATAGGCAACTTTTGGGCTTAATCGGTCTCCGATAGACTAATAAATGTGATAAAATGTTTGTAACTGTAATTGTAATTGCTCGTTAGGGGAGAACGAGCCAACAGTCTGTATGGACAGATGGACGGAGTGGTTATGGACACACCAGTTGACCCGCTTTTGATGACTATAATCACGGACATGCTGGGAGCTTTCCAGCTCCGTTACGAAAGTAACAGTCAAAAATACTTCGGGCGCCTCTTAAATGATGTATTCGCCATTACACCGGAACAAAATGACATCGTAGTTCTATTGAGTGATATAGATCAGGCGGACCCCTCAATCAGATTTGCATTGGAAGAATAACAGCCTGGTTTCCTTCCCCCACTGTAGGCGCATTTGAATAGAACAGTCTTCTTACGTCTATCGTAAGAAGACGTGGTTCGAGAAATGCACCAATTTTTGGAATTTCTCACTGCTAAACTTGAAATGTAGTCTTATCCGCTATTTGGCACATAAAGTGAGGAGGATCTGCTCAGCTGACAGCAAGGAGAGAGGACTTAAGACTGTCAGAAGTCTCTTTCACCAGAATGGGTACCCTGATCGATTCAATGTCAGAAACATGGTCAAAAGACCACCAAAGTCCACGATGCTGACGGCAGCAAAGGAAAGGCTTTTCATCTAGGTCCCATTTCAAGGGAATGTAGGGACATTTATGTCCGCCTTGTTTTAATCTGTTACAATATGTTTTATAAAAAGAACTTGACAAAACTTCGAATGAGACGACGAACTAGCACGTGCATTTTTACCTGCTGACGACTTTGTTCATATTTACTAGTTTGTAACAGTTGGGATACTGCTATCTTCATTTCCCGGATAGCCAACTCACTGTGACCAACTAATGGGCTTATCACTTACAGGGACTCGGCAAGTGAACTTTTAAGAAGGCGCCTAACTCAAGCTGTATCAAGCACCTTTCCAGCAGCTGGCTTCCGTTTACTGTTCTCCAGTAGTCCCATTCTAAGAGGAGGTGGTATGAAAAAAATACCAGCCCAGACCACCTCTATTTACTTCTCCACCTGCTGCAGTGGAACTGAATATATTGGCCGCACGAGTCGGCGTCTGTCCTAAGAAGTGAAAGAACTTCTCCTGGTATGGTTAGGAAAGGATCAGCTAAAGAACATGAATAGCTTTTATCTCGAGCACATGGTAGACATAGACCACCGTGTAGATGTCAGAGAGCTCTTCGGAGTGATTTACAAGTTCCCATCAACGTATCCAATACTACTTGTGTAGCGACTATTGGCTACGGCAGAGGCGGCTGCAGTCAGGGGGCGGATCGTGTTTCGTAGCCGTACCTGCAGTAGATAAGTCCCAGCCAAACCCTTAACCCTAACCCCTAACAGGCACGACTACGAAATAAGATCTTGTCCAATCAGATTACGCAAAGCAGTCCTATGCACACAGAAGAACTTCATACAGACCCAGCAGTTGCCATAGGTTAAAGGCAACAGGCCAGCAATCCACCCATATTCACCCTTCCCTCCGGCCACTATCGCCCTGATTCCGACTAGAAGTTTGGTGTTTCAGCCTACAAACCCGAACTGCCGCATAATCATCTACTTCCCGCGGCGCCGATAAAATCTGATTGTGAAGTCATACATAATGAACATAATACTATTGAGCTACTGATTGGCTCTGAGTAGGCGTAATTACGTTATCTTGATGTTTGTCGTTTTCTTCTAACCTTCGAGTTGCCTGGGTTAGGGGTTTGGTGGTTAGGGGTTAGGATTAGGGCCTGGAGTTAGGGTTCGGGTTGTGGGTTAGTGTTAGGGGTTAGTTCTACGTTTACGACTTGGGTTAAACTGAGGGCAGCCCCAACCCTCACTCTGTCCCTAAGCCTCTCCCTCATACTAACTCAAACCCTAGGACTAATCATACCTCTAAGCCCGACCACAACAATGCCCCTTTCCTTTTCGGAAATTTGCAGTTGTGCTATTTCAGCATAATCTCGCCTACCCAAAACGAATCAGCAGTTTTAGAGTTGCGAAGATTCCCAGTGAAAAATTCAAAGGGCAATTTGGTGAGCATACGTCTGCTTTCGATAAATTCTCTCCAGGCCTACACATTTATTGAAGTAGTTCAGTAGTATACATTTCATCAGGTGTCGCTGCACACCATGCCGAATGACGTTGACCTTGTCTTGTCCATTTCGATTGGCTGGTTGGATCTTTACCGTATTTGCATCATTGGCGCTTCAGTTTCAGCTCATTCATAGTTTTATTTGCATTCTTCATTAACTCATTTTTCACAGCAATTTTACCGACGAGTGCGATTGCGTCATCCATAAATTCGCCTTTACCACCATTCCCGTATTACAGGCCGTCGGGGTTTAGCCATTTCTAGGACGGTCGTAAGATCAGATCCAACCCTCGCGCCTTTTATCCATTATTTCAATAACAGTACAAATGTACAGGCCTTAAGAGAATTTATCGAAAGCCTTGGAAAACGGACCTCATAAAGTTGTGCTGGCCAGCAGCGACCAAACCAGTCTCATACTTTCCAGGTGGTTCAAGATTGAAGGCTCCAACCCCGGTGTTTTTTTGTTAATCGGACTACTCGCCAGCGGAGCGTCTGACAAGTCGTCAACTATTTCTGGAGCCGAGGAAGCGGCTAAACGAAGGGGAGGACAATTTATTTATATAAAACAACCAAGAAAGACGGCGTCCATCATTCCTTCTTTGGACAGTTCCGGTCGAATGACCGCGCAGCCGGCGTATTAAGTGAAGGCGTTAACCGCAATGTAACGACATCTCTCGTCAACCGAAAACCAAAACTTATGTACACCAGCGCACAGAGTTTGTTATCAAATTTCCACGAGCTAAGAAATCTCATCTGTGATCTATCCCCTGACGTAATCTCTTTAACAGAAACCTGTTCAACCTTATACCCGGACAACTGTGAGTTAACCTTGCCTGGCTACCAGCATGGAAGGACGCCAGGGAAGAAGAGTACTCTGACAAAACCGATAAATTTTCAAGTACCTCCGAGGCAATCTGGCTGTCTATTAAACTGCCGGGCTCACCGAGCCTCGATGTCCTGACAGTCTATCGACCGTTGAGATGGGACCACATTGCTGGCGCTCTCCTGCTGGAGGAGCTCGCAAAGTTTGCTACACGACCGGATATCCAAATCATGGGCGACTTTGACGCGCTTCACATTGACCGGAGCTCGGCCCACGCAATTAGCTCAGAACAGACCTTCGATGTTAGCCTTGTGAACACGACGCTGAAGTTATTCCTCACTCCGCACGTCATGTTTCCAACTGGAGTACGCGAAGGCCAGCAGGTCAACTGCCTTGATCATGTCCTCACGAAATCACAGGACAGCACTGGTGAGATGTCATGTCTGCCCTCCCTAGGTAAAAGTGACCAAGCCGTCCTATTATGGGATTGTCCGTTCTTTTCCATGCCCGAGAAGCATTTAGCGTGGGGATTTCGACCAAATAAGGGCTGAAATTACACGCATTGAGTGGCGATCCGTATTTGCTGGAGATGTACTGGAAAATTGGCAACGGTTCCAAGAAGTACCGCACAAGATCATCGCAAAGCATTCGCCGCTTTCACGAAAGGGATTAGCAAACAGACTTCGATGACTTATGCAAGTCTTAAAAAATGGAGTGGATAAAAAGCGAATGGTCTTGAAAAATTCACTTACTGACAGGAGCGCCATATCCATAGGTGCGTACAAAATCCAAAGAAATCGTGTCTTGGGACTTATTGTCAGAATAAGAAGGGAATTCGAAATGGATCTGGTTAACCGTGCCGCGGAAAACCTAAAATTGGTTTACGGTTACATTACATAGAGCACGAGCAACAAGGACCCAATTCAATTTCTAAGGACAGCTGAGGGCGAAAATCTCACCGAAGGTCGAGCGAAAGCTGATCATCTTTTAAAATTTTTCCGGTCTGTTTTTAGTAGGGAAGCTGGATTCAACCCTCCCACGAGTGACTTCGAAGAGGCCACAGTAACTGAGACCGCTCAGTTCACCGAGACCCTGGTTATGAAGGAACGGATGAAGCTAAAGGAATCATTATCACCAGGTCACGGTGAGATTCGAGTCGAGATTTTGAAGGAATTCGCCGGTGAGTCGGCAAAACCACTCGTTCGAGGCCTGATGCCTGTCAGCCGACTGGAAATCAGAGTGGATTATGCCGCTGTATAAGGGCGGAAGTCGGGCCTCCGCAAACAATTATAGACCGGTCAGCCTCGCCGCCATTTTCTTGAAAATCATGGAGAAAGTTATTAGGCAACAATTAGTGTAGTTCCTTGAACAACACCCTCTGCTCTCTGATTTACAGCATGGATTCCACAGAGACAGGTCCTGTGTGACAACGTTGCTCTGCTGTCGAAAGCATTGGACACGGGCTGTTGATAGAGGACATATGCTGCATGGGGCCTATATCGACTTCAAGAAGGCCTTCGACAGTGTGTCTCACCATCGCCTTCTGTACAAACTCAGCCGTATAGGAGTGTGTGGTAAGCTATTGATGTGGATTCAAAGCTTTTTACTCGACCGTTCTCAAACTGTCCATGTCAGTGATCAGCAGTATGTGGAGGTTGCCGTTAAGAGTGGTGTTCCCCAAGGCTACGTTCTTGGCCCTACTCTGTTCATTATATATGTCGACGACTGCGTAGACCAACTGGATTGTGATGTCGCAATGTTTGCCGATGATATAATGATCTGGAGTACCATCCGAAACGAAGTTGGCGAAGCGCGATTGCAGACATACCTAGACCGCCTCGAGCAATTGTCGAACGACTGGCATTTACTGTTTAACGTTAACAGGGGTAAGTTCCTACGCGTCGGCGGAACCGGTTTACATAAACGCATGGTCTACCGCCTGACTGGCAAACTACTGTAAGAAGTTGACGTCCAGAAGGACTTGGGTGTGTGGGTCATAACTTCGCTCAAGCCTTCGCTGTACTGTTCAAAGTTAGCCAAGTCGGCGATGTCCATCCTATACCTCGTCAAACGAGCGATTTCTTCCTTTGATGATGTCTGCTTCGCCAAGGTCTTCCGAACTTTTTGGGCGGCCGCATCTGCAGTTTACTATCCACGCATGGAGACCCTGGACCGCTAAGGACCTTAGCCTGTCAGAAAAGGTTCAACGACGGGTACCCAAACTCGTAATTGGACAGGGCTCACTACCCTGCGAAACGCGATCAGCTAATCTTTATCTCCTTCCTTTGAGCTACAGGCAGTTACGAGGTGACCGAATACAGGCTTTCCGCATCCTACGCAATCAGGACTGCTGCCTCGTATCCGGAGACTTCTTCGAGGCTAACTAACGAGGTCATCCACTCAAACTACGTGTGACTGGTGCCAGGCTAGACACATGGGAGTTCGTCTTCTTGAAAGAAGTGGTCGCAACTTGGAATGCTTACCCCGGGGAAGTTGTTATCTCTGCATCCGAAGAAACTTTTAAGAGGAAACTGGATCAACATTGCAGTACGCACCACACTGCCAGCCGACCGCAACCGTCTTGTGTCTTGTGTCCCTCGATACTACTGTAAATCTTTAAGTAACACTCGTTTATATAAGTTATTAACATATGAATCACGACGCACACCACTGCTCGCATACACAATGATGTTTGCTTGGGTGTGTTTCAAGTAACTATTGTATTACGCACCAACGCGAGTACATAAGCCTTCAAATACTGTTAACGCATGAAATAATGGGTTAATCTGTGCAGATCTTGATATCTTATTTGTGTTTCTTTGACGTTACTCCTTTTCCAATCTTTCCACATGCTTCCTCTGCGTGTAACAAATAGGGAATTCAAAGGCATACACCCAGCTTCCCTCAAATAAACTGAACTGAAATGAACACACGTATACTCGCCAAATTTTCTTTTGGATTCTTCAGCGCGAATATCCCCAACTCATTGAACCTCGTTCAAAAGTCCACTATTGCGGAATGCATGTCAATATTAATGGGATCAACATGAATTGCTCTTGAGGCCATTATCTAGCGATGCATACCCAGTGTTATTACGCTGTGAGACTTTTCTGGCGCCACAACTCCACAACGATCGATCTCGCGTTGACGATGAAGAGCTTAGTTACTTGCATTTTATAAGTAGGCGTTTACACAGCATGAAGACGGGCAAACCACGTTCTTGTTTGCCTCCGGCACACTGCTCAGTTCAACCGACTTGCAGGACTCACAGGGATGAGCGCAAACGACATGCCGGTGATAATCTAATACTAATTGTTACGGGGAGTGCCTTAATAAACCGTGGCGTGAAGTGTTGGCCTTAAATACATACTTCAGAAAAGTCGTTATTAGTACACTACTGAGAACACCCCATGAAATATCCAAGGGATTGAGTGATAAAAAATTTGTACTGAGTATAGTTAATAGGAAAACGACCCTCAAAATTTTGAACACCAATCAGTCTATTTCGTTCTATTAATTCTAGGGAAACTGCACATGAAATCAACTGTTTACGAATGCATACAACGAAATTTTTGGGGGCGGAGGAAATAGAATTGTCGTAATATTCATTTTTATTATTTAAAGCTAGGCCATATGACGGTGGTTGTCCTCTGCCTCCATCATTAGAAGCAGTTTCGCGCCCCAAATTAAGCAAAATAGAGTTTGCAAATAAAACTTCTGAATACCCAAAGATTATTCTTTTCTTTAATCGATGTGTTTGTGCGTCAGAGCGTGTTCGCCCCGCTTCCAGGTTAAGTCAGATCACAGGCAAACATTCGCATAATGCACCCTATTATACGGATCCTTTAGGGTCAACGGGAAATCGCTCACATCAGTTAAACTTTATTGCTCCTAGCTGCTACCTATGAGTCTGCATCATACTTGTGCTCTGGTCTGTCTTTCCTTTTGACAACCTGAGAGGCTTGGACCACAGAAAAACGGCAGTCTTTTGTTGAAAAAAGCATCTAAATGACCGCGGAAACGGTCCTGGTGTTGGAACTTCTGAAGGTTTAGCTGGACTTATTCGAAAACAATGTGAAAAGGGGTGAAAATTAGTGGAATATGGAAGTTATAGAAAGCTATAGCTATCTTCGGCGAAATATCGTTTCATATATGGCAAAAGTTTTGCAAGTATAAAGTCTGCCGGTCAACGCAAAAAACAAAATCCACGACTTTAAGAAACCACGTACAGGGCGTGACCGATCTGATGAAATGTTGGCCAAAATTCTGAAATGCGTTTTCAAGTAGGAAGGATTACTTGGGTGGGGTTGTAATGCTGCTTATCAAGCAACATACTCCCATGGCATTTCGGACTTGCTAGGATGTCGGCTTTCGAATGCACTTCATTTCGGAGATTGAAAAGCAGTGCATTCAAAAGCTGACATCCTACCGAATCCGAGATATTTTAGGATTACGCCGCAAGATAACCAGTATTGCAACCGCGCCTAAGTAATCCTTCCTAATCGAAAATGCATTTCAGAATTTCAGCCAACATTTCATGAGATCGGTCGCGCACTGTAAAAGCCTGCTAACCCTAGGTAGGGGGACCTTAAATTTAAAACTGGTTTGTCCACGGCTAATAGCCCGTTTACGTGATTCACCTTTAAAGCCTTCTCGCTTTTGTGATTGAGCAGATAGGACTGGTGAGATGGGTTCGCTACCAGGATCACAAACATCCTCGACAAAAAATAAATTTTCCTGCAAGAAATTGAGGAATAATTTTGTTGTGGAGATCCCGCCAACAGGTGCTTATTTTATGCCATAGTTTGTTCGATGAAATTGCAGTTCCAAACGTCTAATACTAATAGACAGTTCTGCGTGTTTCTTTCTAGATGGTCTTCGAATTTTTCATTGACAGCTATGCAAGGATGCACTTTCTGTGCTGTAACGCACATGACATCCAGGCGCCCCGTTCCCTTGTGTGAAAACCTGGTGAGTTGCGCGGGAGGGAGTCAGATCATCTGTGGCAAGCGCAGACGGGTCATTATAACCCTGTCAGCCACCGCGCCCAGTCTTAGCATCAGCTGGCCAACCGACTCGAACAATCGATTTGTGCACGTCAGAGGAAGGCGAGAGTGAATTGACTTGAAAACCTCATCCCCCCGTCATTTTTTCTTTAATATTGACACGATAGAGGTTATGATATATAGGGCCCTCCTCTAACACCTAGTCTGTTGAAGAAATCGGCAAAGGTAGGGTATGTAACCGCCTGGGTGGTTGATGTGTCTCATAGCAGTTTGCCTGGTAGTCGGTCGCGAGATGGGTTATGCAGGAAGCATATTATGACCTCCAATAGCATTATCGATATTAAGGTTGCCTCTTTTTGCTCAAGGTTAGGGTTTGGACAAAGGTGAAAATTGGTGGTAGTTGAGTTATTCCTGGGAATAGGGTTTCCAGGCTTGGGCTATAGTTTGAATTTGGGATGAAGGTTAGGTTAGGGGTTTTATGGTTTGGCTTATGGTTACTGTTACATCCGACTTTTACTTAAATGCTTACAGGCTAAAGATTTCCTGCTGAAGGCATAAACTGTTGTCTTTGAGCAGGAATCCCAAACTTCAGGCGACTAAAACTCTTGTCCCAGCGATTGTGTCTCCTACTTCATGACTGCTTCCTGGGACTCCTCTCTTTGCTTCTCTTGACAGCTATGATGACTGCCTTCCTCTTGGAAAACCTGAAACGTTGAGAGAAATTCTATCAGTACCCAAATTTAAAATCCCATAGAACCCTTCTACTCTAGAACATTCGAGTAAGTGGATATTTTGTTGACGGCATTGCAATGGACTTTTTGCGGACACGACGTCCGTCAGTCCTATGCTCACAATCACCCGAACCGCTTTCTTATCGTCCAGTTGTTTGTGGAATGATTGTCCGCGGGAAATGAGGTTTTCTTCGCCCCGCTGATGCAGACCTCAGTTCTGCCAACCCCACCACACTGTTCGTTTTTTCCTCCTCTGTTTTTGCTACTAACATGGACGTATTAAGGTTAAAAAGGCCAAAATTTATTCGCTCAAAATTCCAGAGTCTGTCGCACAAAGTACTCCAGTAATTGTGCCTCAAACTATGATTTTGTGTAGTGTGTGGCCTGAGTGCGACCCCAAGTATCAAAACTAGAGACGGTGCAATAACAGTATCGTTCTTTGAGGCTTTGCCACCGGAGTTGGAGAAAGTGTGGACTGTACCACTCACCGGGGTCGCATTGAGTGACTAACGGCTGGATGCTA